ACGATCGGTAGGATCCTGCTCCCCACAAGGATCCCAGCCAGACCAAGGAGGGTGACCCCGACAACGAGACAGAGACCCCCGCGCGAGCAGATCCAAGGGCAGGGTAGGATTAATTTTCCTCCCGCCAATAGGAGTGCCAACAACGAAGAGCCTCGAGCAGCCGCGCAGCAACAGGAAGCACGTGTCAACGAGAGGAACCTGGCGGATGCACCGGTGCAGCCGCAGCAGCAGCAGGAACAACGAGCGAGGGGAACGCCGCTGCTGGCAGATCAGCGACAGGACCGCGGGAGGGAGAGGATGCGGGAGCAGACACGGGACAATCGCGCACAGCGGCAGGATGAGGAAGAGAGAGGGAGACAGGCGGAAATGGGGGCGGCCTTGGAACGCGTTATGCTGCAAATCCCCATGGCAACGCCGCTTGGTAGTTCGCAACTCACAACGCAACAGCGTAGCGCAAGTTTCAGCACCCCGGTGGCGCCACGACCAGGGCAGGTCCTGGGCACGCTAAGAGGAGGCAAGAAGAGAATGGCGGACGACGGACCAGGGGCTCAATCCGTTCATTCGCAGCATGGCAGAAGTCTCAGACCGAGATTCTCAAGCGGCAGTAATGCTGCGGTCGGTTCACCCTGAGTGACCAGTAACGAGCTTCGGGTTCCCCCGCCTTGGCGCCAACCCTCTGTTTCCTTTTTCCCTCTTTGTACCGGTCCACACACCCCACCTTTTTTCTTTTTTTTTTTTCTTCTTTCTTTTTTCTTCCTTCTTTCTTCCTTGTTTTCTTTTTAACAATAACCAAAGGACACTTTATGAGCGATGGTGTGTTTCGAATCGTGCTTGTCAGTAGGATCCCAAGCTTGAAGGAATTGACGGAGAAGGCCGGATGATCGTACTACCTACGGGAAGGAAGGCTTGGAGCAAGGGGAGGAAGGGGGACCTCATTTTCCTACATATGAGGTACACCAGCAGGGCCATGGAAGCCTTTTCCGTACGGAGCCTGGTGATGAACGCTCTACGGAGGCTGGTGGGGGATGAGGCGAGGGAATGGCTGGAGAGGGTAGTGTTGGGTGGACATACGAGAAACCCGTGGCAGCGCATGTATGTAGGCTTAACGAGGTGTTTAAGGAGTTTGACATAGAACACTGGACGGCCACTATGACCCTGCGCAGTGTCATTGCAGAGCGGAGAGGTACATGCGATTCCACTCTGAGAAGACTCTGGAGCTTCTTCCAGGCGCTGAGCACACACACGTGTTGACCTTGGACTCTCACATCACGAGCAATTGTAGGCTGCGAGCAATCATCAAGGCCGGGCTCAACCACATTCCGCTGAGGGCATTCGACGTCGACGAAGCCCTTTTCGAGCTCAATGGACTTTTGGACAGACTCATCATGGCATTGTATGACATAGCAAGCATGGGAGAACATCAGAGGCGGAGGCTCAGGCAGATTGTCTTGGACAGGGCGAAGTGCAAGATGGACGGATACATTTGCAGGCACAGGTTCATCACGGCGGAACCAATTGACCAAAAGAGCACGAGGAGGGAGATAGATTTCCTCACCGAAAGGTTCCTAGTATCCCCTACGGACAAGTCCGCTAACACCCCCTCCTTTGTCTGCACGAACTTTATCCGCACACTTGCGCTACGAAGGCTGCTGGGGCCGGACTTCGTCATGCAACAGGAGGACCCGCAACAGATCATCTCGACGATTAAGGCAAGCCTGACTCACCTTCCCGTGCTGCCTATTGCACACGACGTGCTTCCTTACCTGATGTCAGTCTACAAAGCGCACAAGCAGTCGTTTCGTTGGATAACGAATACTGCTAACACGGTAATGTCACCCATGGCGGACCTTTGTGCCTGCCTGCTCCGCTTTCTGACACCGTCGGTCCAGTCTTTTTGCGCAGAAAAAAGCAGGACCCTGGAAGTGGAGTACGGTGTGAAACCCAATCTATGGTGGCCTATCACATCGGTGGGAGAATTTGCGGCGAACTTACCGCAGTCTACCTACACAGTCTACACGGTCGACATCACGAGGTGTTTCGAGACCATCCCCACGGATGGCTCTCAGCACAGCCTGATGTTGGCGGTTAAATTCTTCGTGCATTTAGCACTAATCTACCGCAGAGACAGGAGTCCAAGGGACGTCATCAAGGTAAGGATCACTGCACGAGGGAGAATGATCCCATCTTGGATTGAAGCGCGATTGGAGAACTCGGCAGAAGAGCTGTTCTTCTCGGAGGATGAAGTTAATGATGTCTCACGATCGTGCTTGGATCATAGTTTGATTCAGGTAGGCACATGTGTCTGGAAGCAGATCCTCGGCATCCCGATGGGCTTAGCCTGTTCACCCATCTGGTGTGATATTTATTTCTTTAAATACGAATATCACGCCATGCTGAGACTGCTATCCTTGGTCCCCCACTTCGATGACACTTAGAGGTATGTAGACGATCTATGCGCGCTCAACAATAGCACCATTCACAACTTCTTTCGTGCGGAATGCGACCAGACCACTGATCCAATCTGGATTTACCCTAGGGAATTCATAGAGGTGAAGGAGACGACCGAAGTCAGGGACGAAGAAGGCCAGATCATCACTACGCTGGTAGTTCTGATCCTCATACTATGTTCAGACCTGCGTGAAGCCGCCAGGGAAATCGATGGCGTCGTCAGAACGCTTTTTGACAACGGCTTCGAAACCGGCAGATGCTGGGCGGGAGGTATGACTACCAGCCCAGCAGGGTCAACCGCGAGCTGGTCCACGTGGACTAACGATGTTTATGCGTCTGTGGTTGTGAGTGACGTGTGTGGGTCCCGGGGGGCGTCTGGCTGCAAGGCCGGTTGCCCCCCGTGGCTTCCGGCCTTGCCCCCGGACCTGCCTCCCTGGAGGGAAAGGGGTGGGTCACACACACACACACACACACACGCATACAGGATCAGGAGGGGATAGCTGAGGAAGGTGGGGGAGCCAAGGGAAATGAACCAGGCCCCAAATGGAAGGCGAGTTCAGAGAACCATCTCGAATACCCCCTTCCCCCATGCTCACCACCCAGAGGAGCATATCTTGTTTCGAAGTTTCCTCCGTTTTTCCTTTTCTCTGTTTCGTTTTTTTCCCCTTTTTTTTCTTTTCACAGATTCTTGCGCTGTCTTTTCGAATTTTTATTTTCTCCTTCTTTTCCTTTTTTCTCTTTTTTTCTTCTTTTCTTCTTTCCTTCTTCCTTTTTTTCCCCTTCCCCCTTTTGTCTTTTTGTTTGTGTCGCCCCTTTTTTTTGTTGTTTCTTTTTTGTTGTTTCTTTTTTTGTTTCCTTTTTTGAATAAGACA